AGGTGCGCGGCCGCCACCCCCCGCGGGAAGGAGCCGGGAGCAAGCAGGGGCGGGGGGCTCTTTCCCGCCGCGACCTGCTCTGCTCTGGTTCCTCCCTCCTCGCGCACGTGGGGTCGCGGACAGGCCCCCCGAGGTGCCCGGGTTGTGAGCAAGGGTGGCCCCGCCGGGCACCCCGGGGCTCGCCGCACCTGGCCGCGGGGGAGCAGTGGCCATTCATACAGCCGCCCTCCCCCTGACAGCTCAGGACAAGCGTCGCGGCTTCTTAACCTGGCAGGGGAAATACCATGTATCTGTGGCCACGCAGGCAGTTGTCCTGACCCGCTGCGCAGGAGAGCTGCTCTTCTGGCGTGGTTCAGGCCCCGCCAAGGTGCAGTGGGTTTAAGCCCACTTTATGGGCATGGGAGTCTCCTCCCGCACTTGCTCAGAGGGCCTGATGGCTGAAGGCAAGCAAAACTCGGGGGCATCTGAACCCCAAACCTCTAGGCTTGGGCCTGCAAGTAGGATGCCTGCCAAAGGTTTTGGAAACACCTGAAGCCCCAGGTGAGGGTGCAGGATGTTTGCCGCTAGTAGGGCCACTTATGGTTCTAGACTCTTGGATTGGGAATTAGTTTTGGCTAATTTGGCCTCCGATATAGATTTATTAAAACCGCCTTCCCTGCTCCCTGCCCACTGCCATATCCGCATGCTCCTCCCCAGCACACAGCCAGATGGGGCTGGGCCGGGCCAGGCCAACCTGCTTTGTTTCCCTCTGGCAGGGCCCCCTCCCCTGTGGGACTGGGTTAGAGCTGCTCCCATGTGTGGGTGGGGGGGGAAGCTGAAGCAGGGCCAGGAGGCCCCCAACACAAATACAAAAGCAAGGATATAGACATGGGCTTCATTATCAGTGCTGATCCCTCTCTCACGCTGAGATTTTTTGCTCTTTCACCTAGAGTTTGAAAGTGCCGAGACTCTTCTCAATTCAGAAGTACACATGCTGCTTGAGCATCGCAAGCAGCAGAATGAGAGTGCAGAGGATGAGCAGGAGCTCTCAGAAGTCTTCATGAAAACTTTGAACTACACGGCTCGTTTCAGCCGCTTCAAAAACCGGGAGACTATTGCCAGTGTCCGCAGGTGAGTAGGAGAGACCAGGAAAGATTTTTGTCAGGGAATTTATTATGTATGGTATTGGTACTGTGCAGTTAAAATGCCTTAGCTATGTTGCCAGAAGAGGGGTGCACTTAGATCTTAGCCAGGCTCTATGTTCTTTCTTGAGTGGGTTATGATAGATGCCTTCAAAATAAACATTTATGAGTGACATCAGATCAGTCTTTTTGGAGCCTGGGATGATTAGTAGTAGTGGTAGTTGAAGTGGGGTTGTACTTATGCAAATGCACTTTTTTTTAAATTTGCCCCTCCTTCTTCCCTCCTTTTTTTACTGCTTCCACTGGTACATTTTCCTTTCCTGTGCTTTTTTATTCTGTTGTAGCTATATTCTTACCATCTTATTTTCCCTACCTGCAGTTTATTGCTCCAGAAGAAGCTCCATAAATTTGAATTGGCATGCTTAGCTAATCTTTGTCCTGAGACAGCTGAGGAGGCCAAGGCTCTGATTCCCAGGTGAGAATTTGTATTTAGCAGGGCTGCTGTGTGAACTGTGGGGCTCTAAGATACAGGAAGAAAGGAAAAGCTGGGGTCACCTGTGGGTTTTTCCTTTGCACTGAAAACTTCACAGACACACTGGGCTGGCCTATGAGTGCAGGTCCATATAGGACTTCAGTCAGATGTCTTGTGGGTGAAGGCCATTAGAAAATTACTATCTTGAAAGGGGTCAAAGGAGGGATGGTGTCTGGTTTACATGACAGCCACAATATGAGGCTCAGAACAGTGTCTGCATTACACTGTTGGAGGAGTTGCTAGTTGGTACAAAACAATATGTTAAGAGGAATTCTGGGTCTTTGAAAACAAATGTGTCTAAAGCCATTAATTAATTTACTGTCCTTGCTCTTATCTTGCAGCCTAGAGGGCCGGTTTGAGGATGAGGAGTTACAGCAGATTCTTGATGATATTCAGACCAAACGAAGCTTCCAATATTAGGGTTAACACCCAGCCCCTCTTATGAACAGAGAAAAACTCAAGTACTTTTTGCACTCCAGACCAAATCAGCCGCTCCCAGACCTGAGCTAAGGAAGTGCCAGGAGCAGAGTACTCCAGCCTGGTGTCCACCACAGATGCATTCAAATGGGAGGCCAGTTAGTCCATAAAAGAGACTCTTTTATGGTGAGAGCCATTGGATCCTAGAAAGTCTTGTCTGAGTGGTGTCAGTGCTTTGCTTTTCCTAACAGCCTGTCCCTGACTTGTGAATCTTTACAGTGTTTTTGGTTTCTAGAATAAGTGCAGCTGTACAATTTTTTCCTTGTGCACACCTGTTCCCTAAGATAGAGAAACTATTCCTACTGGTTGTTGGCAATCATAATGATGCATGGAATCAGGACTGATGAGACTGTGTGGTGGTTTCTATGTATATGTTTGATCAAGATAGTGGGATTTTCCCCCTTTAAGAATACTTTTGCATAGCTTTTTAGTTTTAATTAAAAGGCGCTATTTATAATTATGATCCTGTGGTTTGTAAACAGTATCTGATTCAGTCCAATTTTATTTATGAAAATCCCGTTGATTTAAATATAATGATGTAGAATGAGAGAAAAATCTCAGGGGGGGAGAGAGAACTGTGAGCAAAGAGGAAGAGATGTTGCATGATTTTTTTTCTTTTGAACTTTTTTTTATTTTTTTGTACAGGAGCATATGAGCTGCTCACCATTATTTGAGGGAGGAGGGGAGGAAGAGAAATGTGGTACTCCCATTAATTTGTAAGCTTGGTTTGGAAAAAATATATTCATGTATCAGGCACAAGAGTGAAAACCTCAGTGAAACTTCTTGGCTCAGCTGGGGTGACATTACTTGTCCCTTTCAATAAGGTGTTTTCTGTTTTGTTTTTTTTTAATTGCAGACAGGTTTGTTTGTTTTTTGTAGCTAGAATAGTCTTAGGGGTCAGAACAATACCAGGAAAAGTAACAACAAAATAGCTAGTGCCCTGAGTATCTTATAAGCTACACCCAGCTCCTTTCAATTTTGTTTGGTTCCCAGCTGTAACTGGCAGGTGTTGTTTGCCTCACAGGCCCAGTGCTTCAGAGACAGTTAAAACATATCCCTTAAAAAATCCTGACATTCTTTTAATGAGAGCTTTCTCTCCAGGACCTTTTCCCTCTTTACTTGTTATAATCTTAATGTTGGTGGTTTGGAAGCAAACATTAATGAACTTACCAAAATCTCCACCCCCACAAAAAAAAAAGAGTCTATAATTAGGGGAGATTGTTATTTCTTCTTGCTATTTAAAAACAAACCAGGAGACTTTAGGTTAGGGAATAAGTCTTACAGCTTCAGGGCCTGAAACTGATCCCTGGAGACCGACATCATGCTCCACTAATTGAGGCTGCCCCCCAACAGTGACCGAATGGCTGCCCATGTTTAAAAAAAACCCAAACAAAACAGCAGCCCCCGCAGCAGATCCGTTTGGGTCCCGGAGGTTGTAAAACCAAAGCGGCTGATGCTGGCAGGGAGATGGTGGGGCGCTGCTCAGCAGCCGGGGGCAGTGACATGCCGGAGGGGTCTCGCTGCTCCGTGACTGCCCCCCCTCGCAAAAGGGGGTCGAGGCTGGAGCCACGAACAGCTGCAGTGAGGCGGGCGGGTAGAAAACTAGCAGAGGAAGCCAAGGTTTCCGGGGGGGGAAAGGGGTGTCCCAGACTGCAGCCGGGGGGAGCTCAGCGCCGCCTCGCGCAGGGCTGGTGGCGGCAATAAGTAGGCTTTTGCGCATGCTCATTGCCCCCCCGCCCCCGTGGGCCGTGCGATAGGACTACGCATGCGCTCCGCCCCCGTCGCTGAGCCTCACGTTCCGGCTTCCTCAGTTCCTGACTGCGCCGGCGCGCTTCACGCGCGGCCGCATCGCCGTTGTCTTTGCGCGTGCGCAGAGCCGCTGTGGTGTCAGCCCCTCCGCTGGGTCCCTGTGAGGGGCGGGCCGGGTTGGGCCGGCGCCTCGAACGCGCTGACGTCGGGCGCGTGCGCCACCCCGGTAGCTGGTGGGGAAGATGGCGGCTGGCGGCGGAGGCG